GATCAAGTGTTACATTGAAGCATATATGTGAACAGTATTTGGATAAAAGTAGGGAAGTTTGCATTGCATTTATGGATTTAGAAAAGGCATATGATAAAGTGGATAGGGGAGCAATGTGGCAGATGTTGCAAGTACAGTGGACCCTCGCCTAATGATATTAATCCGTTCCTGAGAGCTTATTGTTAGGCGAAATTATCGTTAGTTGAATTAAATTTCCCAATAAGAAATAATGGAAATCAAATTAATCCGTTCTTGACACCCCACAGTATGAAAAAAAAATTTACCACATGAAATATACATTTCCTACACACAAATAGAAGAAGACATGCACAGTTACTACTGTACTAAGTAAAGAATATTTGACACTTACCTTTATTGAAGATCTGGTGATGATTGATGGGATTGGAGGAGGGGAGACGGTGGAAGTTGTTATTGTTTGGAAGGGGAATCCTCTTCCATGAGGAAGAGGATTCCCCTTTTCTGGGGTTACTTCCCTTCTTCTTTTAATGCCACTAGGACCAGCTTGAGAGTCACTGGACTTGTCACACAACATATCTGTCCATAGAGGCCTGTACCTCTCGTTCCTTTATGACTTTTCTAAAGTGGTTCACAACATTGTCATTGTAATAGTCACTAGCACAGTTTGCAATAGCTGTGTTAAAGGGATTTTCATCCATAAAGGTTTGCACTTCATGCCACTTTTCACACATTTCCTTAATCTTTGAAGAAGGCAACTTCTTCAATTTCTCTCTCCCCTCCTCTGAAGCAGTTTCCTCAGGTCTGGCCTCTTGCTGTTGCAGATGCTCTTGCAACTCATCAGTGCTTAGTCTTCATCGTCCTCCTACACCAACTCTTCCACATCTTCCTCACTAACCTCCAACCCCAAGGACTTCCCCAATGCCACAATAGATTCCACAACTGGCATAGGCTCCTGAGGGTTAACCCCAAACCCTTCAAAATCCCTCTTTTCTACACATTCTGGCCACAATTTCCTCCAAGCAGAGTTCAAGGTCCTCTAAGTCACTCCATCCGAAGACTTACCTATAAGGTTTATACAACTGAGGATACTAAAGTTATCTTTCCAAAACTCTCTTAGGGTCAGTCGAGTGTCTGAGGTCACTTCAAAGCACTTTTGAAACATAGCTTTTGTGTAGTTTTTTGAAGTTGGAAATGACCTGCTGGTCCATGGGCTGGAGGAGAGGAGTGGTATTAGGAGGCAAAAATTTGACCTTGATGAAGCTCATGTCCCCAGAAATTCGCTCTGCCAAGTCTGAAGGATGACCAGGAGCATTGTCTAATACCAGGAGGCACTTAAGGTTCAATTTATTTTCCAGGACGTAATTTTTCACAGTGGGGGCAAACACATGGTGAAACCAGTCATAGAAAAAGTCCCTAGTGACCCATGCCTTACTGTTTGCCCTCCACATCACACACAAATTAGCCTTGAGGACATTGTTTTGCCTGAACACTCTGGGAGCTTCAGAGTGATACACCAATAAAGGCTTCACTTTTCAATCACCACTAGCATTACCACACAATAAAAGAGTAAGCCTGTCTTTCATAGGCTTATGTCCTGGGAGTGCCTTTTCCTCCTGAGTAATGTAGGTCCTGTTTTGCATTTTCTTCCAAAACAGGCCTGTTTTGTCACAATTAAACACTTGTTCAGGTTTCAATCCTTCAGCCTCTATGTACTCCTTGAATTCCTGCACATATTTTTCAGCTGCTTTTGGTCTGAACTGGCAGCCTCACCATGCCTTATCACACTATGTCTGCCACTACGATTCTTACATCTCTCAAACCAACCTTTGCTGGCCTTAAATTCCCTCACATCACCGCTAGTTGCAGGCATTTTTTATATTAAATCGTCATGCAACTTCCTAGCCTTTTCACATATGATCGCTTGAGAGATGCTATCTTCTGCTATCTGTTTTTTGTTTATCCACACCAATAACTGTCTCTCAGCATCTTTGAGTACTTGCGATCTCTGTTTCGAAAACAAACTTGCACCTTTTGCAAGAACAGCTTCCTTGATTGCTGTTTTGTTGGCCAAGATAGTAGCGATGGTTGATTGAGGTTTGGTATGCAACCTGGCCAGCTCCGAAACATTCACACCACTTTTGTACTTTGCAATTATCTCTTTCTTAATTTCCATACTAATTTTTACCCTTTTTACCACAAGGTTGGCACTAGAAGCTTTCTTGGGGCCCATGGTGACTTACTTTGCAGTTACAAGCACTAAAAACACTGGGATAATGTGAATGTATGCATAGATGCAATCGCACTGGCTGGCTTGTAAACACTACGCAGCAGCTGAGGCGCGCTCAGGCCATATGTGGGACACGTCCCGGACGAATCACATAAGGCGAGTTTTTTATCATTACACGGGCCAAAATTTTTATGCTCAAATGCTTTGTTAGGCGGATTTAACGTTATGCGATGCGTTCGTTAGGAGAGGGCCCACTGTATATGGAATAGGTAGTAAGTTACTAAATGGTGTAAAGAGTTTTTATGAGGATAGTGAGGCTCAGGTTAGGGTGTGTAGAAGAGAGGGAGATTACTTCCCCGTAAAAGTAGGTCTTAGACAGGGATGTGTAATGTCACCTTGGTTGTTTAAAATATTTATAGATGGGGCTGTATAAGAAGTAAATGCTAGGGCATTGGGGAGAGGGGTGGGATTAAATTATGGGAATCAAATACAAAATGGGAGTTCACACAGTTACTTTTTGCTAATGATACGGTGCTTATGGGTGATTCTAAAGAAAAGTTGCCAAGGTTAGTGGACGAGTTTGGGAGGGTGTGTAAAGGTAGAAAGTTGAAAGTGAACATAGATAAGAGTAAGGTGATGAGGGTATCAAATGATTTAGATAAAGAAAAATTGGATATCAAATTGGCGAGGAGTATGGAAGAAGTGAATGTTTTCAGATATTTGGGAGTTGATGTGTCAGCAGATGGGTTTATGAAGGATGAGGTTAACCATAGAATTGATGAGGGAAAAAAGGTAAGTGGCACGTTGAGGTGTATTTGGAGACAAAAAAATGTTATTATTGGTGGCAAAGAAGGGAATGTATGAAAGTATAGTGGTACCAATTAACCACCACTCTTACATGGGTGTGAAGCATGGGTTGTAAATGCTGCAGCAAGGAGGCAGTTGGAGGCAGTGGAGATGTCCTGTCTAAGGGCAATGTGTGGTGTAAATATTATGCAGAGAATTCGAAGTGTGGAAATTAGGAGGTGTGGAGTTAATAAAAGTATTAGTCAGAGGGCTGAAGAGGGGTTGTTGAGGTGGTTTGGTCATTTAGAGAGAATGGATCAAGGTAGAATGACATGGAGAGCATATAAATCTGTAGGGGAAGGAAGGCGGGATAGGGGGCATCCTCGAAAAGGTTGGAGGGAGGGGGGTAAAGGAGGTTTTGTGGGCGAGGGGCTTGGACTTACAGCAAGCATGCATGAGCGTGTTAGACAGGAGTGAATGGAGATGAATGGTTTTTGGGACCTGATGAGCTGTTGGAATGTGAGCAGGGTAATATTTAGTGAAGGGATTCAGGGAAACCAGTTATTTTTATATAGCCAGACTTGAGTACTGGAAATGGGAAGTACAATGCCTGCACTTTAAAGGAGGGGTTTTGGGATATTGGCAATTTGGAGGGATGTGTAATATATCTTTATATGTGCTTCTAAACTGTTGTGTCTGGGTGCCTCTGCACAAACAGTGATTATGTATGAGTGAGGTGAAAGTGTTGAATGATGTTGTAAGTAATTTTTGTTTTGGGGATTTTCTTTCTTTTTGGGTCACCCTGCCTAGGTGGGAGACGGCCAACGTGTTGAAAAAAAAAAATCTTGTATCTGTGATGACACCCAGTAGACATACCAGTGTTGCTGAATGACTTACTGGCTTGACTGACTGACTTACTGGCTTGACTGACTGATTTTCTAACTTGAGTGACTGACTTACTGACTTGATTGACTTTCTGACTTACTGACTTGACTAATATACTGACTTGACTGATTGACTAACTGACTTGACTGACTTAACTGACATGCTGGCTGACTGACTTACTGACTTAACTGACTGACTTAACTGACTGAATGACTTGATTGAATGACTCACTGAATGACTTGACTAACTTACTGAATGACTTAGTTAGACATTTTCACTGATGAGGATCCTGAAATGGTGTCCAGAGCGATTGATGCCTTACTGTCAGTTGTATAATATACTGCAGGGTAAAAAAGAATTTATGCACACTCTAGTACAACCATTGACTTCAGTACCAGAGCCTCTACCAGCCATCTCAGCCCAGTAGGACCACAGCATAACTCTCCACTCTCTCCACAATCATCAACAAACACCATCACCCACAATTTAAGGTAAATACTATTATTTCTGTTGCAGTTATAGTCTTAAGCAGTAGAAACAACATAATACATCATGACAATGAACTACAATTATATATTCACTTTTACTTTTGTAAGATCTGGAGGTCTAAAAAAATGTTGTGTGAGGGGAAGCTCACATCCTGAATTTTTGCTCATATCCAGAAACAAAAAATCCACCGAGCAACTCCTCGTATGTATCCTGAAAATCTTGTATGGTGGGGCACTCGTAAGCCGAGGTTCCCCGTAATAATAATCATATAATAATCTTTATTTCTACAATTACATGTACAAGGTATACAGGCCTAGCTGACAACAATGCAGAGCATTTCAGGCAAATTAGGTCAATTTTGTCCCCAGGATGCAACCCACATCAGTCGACTAAGACTCAGGCACCCATTTTACATGGACAGCTGGTGTCTTAAGGAAACATGTTCTCATGTTTCCACCCATGCCAGAGATTGAACCACAAACCTCAAGGGTTTACTATATTTCAGTAAAGGAATGGCCTTATAAATAATGTGCAGTTTTCTTTGCAAAATAAACATGTCCAGTATATCTAACGTTGTTGATATCTTAGCAAAAACAGATTTCCAAAAATGTTTCATTCAACTTCTCTTTTACAGTTGGTGTTTACAGTGTCAGTAAACATACCATGCTGACATCCAGTTAAGAAAATGGGAAAAGTACTGAGATCAGCTAGTGTCAGCACCAAGTTTAATAAAGCATACTACACTGTCTGTAGGACTGAGTACAGCAGCTGTCAGCACCAAGTTGAATAAAGGATAGTACACTGAAGCACTGAGTACAACTACTGTCAGCACCAAGTTTAATAAAGCATACTACACTGTCTGTAGGACTGAGTACAGCAGCTGTCAGCACCAAGTTTAATAAAGCATACTATACTGTCTGTAGGACTGAGTACAGCAGCTGTCAGCACCAAGTTGAATAAAGGATAGTACACTGAAGCACTGAGTACAACTACTGTCAGCACCAAGTTTAATAAAGCATACTACACTGTCTGTAGGACTGAGTACAGCAGCTGTCAGCACCAAGTTTAATAAAGGATAGTACACTGAAGCACTGAGTACAACTACTGTCAGCACCAAGTTTAATAAAGCATACTACACTGTCTGTAGGACTGAGTACAGCAGCTGTCAGCACCAAGTTTAATAAAGCATACTACACTGAAGCACTGAGTACAACTACTGTCAGCACCTCTTCAGTAATATCGACAATTATGTGTGTGTTCCAGTTGTCGATATTTGACTGAACTGTTCAGAAAATCTAGTTTCTAACTTTTCTGTGGAATTAAGGTAACAGAAAATGTTGCTCAGTGTACACATTATATCTCACATTTAATAATGTAAAAGACAATATTAAAAAATCCTAATTCATGACTGTTTTAAGTAACTATTTCTGTATTCTTACCTTCCTTGAAACTATTATGTTAGTCCTAGTCTTGCCCCTTTTGTGAAAATATTCTCTATGATCATATACTATGAAAATATTAGTCCTAGTCTCACCCCTATTATAAAAATAAGTCTTACCCCTATTATTAAAATTTTACTCAGAATCTTTCCATTAATTGCTTTCAAAAACCTGAGTATTTGTTATTTTATATTATTTCTTTGAAATATTCCTTGCATATCATTATTCTGGCATCTTGAGTTTTTCATTGTAAAATGCAAGTGAACATAACATATGACTCAAGTTATTTATTTTATCAATAATCATGAAAAGAGAACTTTAATGAGAAACAGATTATTTATAAAAACTTTACTAATTACAGAATAATTTATCAGTTCATTTATTATAAAAGTTTAATTTCTGCAGTCATTATATGTGTAATGATATAGATATTAATTAGTGCAAATGCAATTAATATATGATGAAATAAGACTGGAGATTTTTTGGAATATTTATAGTTACTCCACCTACACCAGCACCAACTTAAACATCATTATTGCTCGATCAGACTGTTCCGCACATTTTTAAAACACTTTAGCATCTATTTCAGTTTTTGTACCAAAGAATTAAAAGAAAAAATATTAGTTAAGGAGAAAAGAGCTCACACATTATTGAAATTTAATACATTATTTATTAAAATTTACAAACAAAAAAATACATTGCAGTATTTGATAGTGAAAACAAATTTCTTTGTGATTTTTTTTTCACATTAATTTGTATTGGTTACAAGAGTTTATATGAAAAGATTTAACCATCAGTTGTCAATATTAATATATTTTTTCAAAGTTTACATTGGAGAATGTATTAAATGAGAGACAGTAGAGAGAAAGATGTGCAGTACAGTAAGTCTGTTGTTATGTGATGTAGTATGTAGCATTCAATGAATTACTGATTTATTGAGTGTAAAAACTTGAAATAAAGTCAACATGAAGGTGGTAAGTAAACTCCATGAATGTCCTGTTTGTGAAAAAGTTTTTCCAACTAATTATAGACTCATAAGACATAACATTACTCATACAGGAGAGAAGCCGTTTCATTGCTCAGAATGTCTGAAAAGTTTTATCCATAAATCCTCATTAAAGGAACATGAGAAAATTCATACAGGAGAGAAGCCATATCAGTGTTCTGTGTGTCAGAGAAACTTTAGGAAGAAATCCTCACTAAATAAACATGAGAAAATTCATACAGGAGAGAAGCCATATCAGTGTTCAGTGTGTCAGAAAGACTTTAGGAATAAATACTCACTAAAACAACATGAGAGCGTTCATACAGGAGAGAAACCATATCAGTGTTCATCGTGTCTGAAAGATTTCAGGGACAAATGCTCACTAAATAAACATCTGAGAATTCATACAGAAGAAAAGCCGTATCAATGTTCAGTGTGTCTGAGAGATTTCAGGGATAAATCTTCACTAAATAAACATGAGAGAATTCATACAGGACTGAAGCCACATCAATGTTCAGTGTGTCAGAAAGACTTTCTTCTTAAATACTCACTGAAACAACATCAGAGAATTCATACAGGAGAGAAGCCATATCAATGTTCAGTGTGTCTGAAAGATTTCACTGATAAGTCCTCGCTAAATAGACATCATAGAATTCATATAGGCCATAAACCATATCAGTGTTCAGTGTGTCTGAAAGACTTCAGTGGTAAAACCTCACTAAATAATCACGAAAGAATTCATACAGTAAAGAAGCAATATCAGTGCCCTGAATGTCTCAAAAACTTCTTAAAAAAATCCTCACTATATGAACATCAGAGAGTTCATGAAGGAGAGAAATTATATCATTGTTCAGTGTGTCTGAAAGACTTTATTAATAAATCTTCACTCAAACAGCATGAGAGAATTCATACAGGAGAGAAACCATATCAGTGTTTGCTGTGTTATAAAGACTTTAGACGCAAGGATTACCTGAATTCACATGTGAAACGACATATTGGAAAGAAGCCATATCAGTGCGCAGTGTGTGCAAAATTATTTACAGAAAAAGGTTCTCTTGTAAAACATATGCGCTATCATACCGGAGAGAAGCCATTTCAGTGTTCAGTGTGCCAAAAAGACTTTTCAGAAAATGGCCACCTCACTTCACACATGAGACTTCATACTGGAGAGAAGCCATTTAAGTGCTCAGTGTGTGCAAAACGGTTTTCAGAAAAATCTTCTCTGGTGAAGCACCTAAAGATTCATACAGGAAAAATACATGAATGTCTTGAGTGTCATAAAATATTTTCAAGCAACTCTCTTTTAGTTCAGCACATGACACTTCATGAAGAAGATAAACCATACAAGTGTTCAGTGTGTCAGGAAAGTTTCTCAACAGAAGAAAGTTTAGAAGAACATTTTAAAATTCATACAAGGGAAACACCATACAAGTGTTCAGAGTGTCAGGAAAGTTTCTCAACAGAAGAAAGTTTAGAAGAACATTTTAAAATTCATATAAGGGAAACACCATACAAGTGTTCAGTGTGTCAGGAAAGCTTCTCAACAGAAGAAAGTTTAGAAGAACATTTTAAAATTCATACAAGGGAAACACCATACAAGTGTTCAGAGTGTCAGGAAAGCTTCTCAACAGAAGAAAGTTTAGAAGAACATTTAAAAATTCATGCAAGGGAAACACCATACAAGTGTTCAGAGTGTCAGGAAAGTTTCTCACAGAAGAAAGTTTAGAAGAACATTTTAAAATTCATACAAGGGAAACACCATACAAGTGTTCAGTGTGTCAGGAAAGCTTCTCAGTAGAAGAAAGTTTAGAAGAACATTTAAAAATTCATACAAGGGAAACACCATACAAGTGTTCAGAGTGTCAAGAAGGCTTTTCAAGAAAAGCAAATTTATTATTGCATAAAAAAATTCATGAGGGGAAAAAAACATACACTTGTTCATGGTGCTCACAAAGCTTTTCACAAAAATTAGAATTTGAAAATCACTTGAAAGATCACAACACAGAACAACCATATCAAATGTTCAAGGTGTCTGGAAAATTTTTCCCATGAAACTGACCTAGTAAATCATATGATAACTCACATGTAAGAGGGAATACAAAGCAATGCGAAATGTTTTAAAGACATTTTAAGAAAATCTTGTCTTGTAAAACCTCTTATGACTGGTCACTTCAGCAGGAAAACCCAAGAGAAACATACTCAGAAATATATGTGGGACATATTTATCATGTGGAAAAATAACACAAATCTAAAATAACAGTAAGGCAAGACTGAAATGCACTTAAAAGTATTAGTTTATTCTTACATGTTATTGCACTTAAAAATTTAAGTTAGTTTATTCCTACTTGTCTAGTGCATTTAAAAATAGAGGTTCTTTTATTTCTACCTGTCTAGTTCATTGCAGTAGATCCTCATATTACACGAATTTGTTTGGCACATTTTGGTTTATGCACTATTGAAAAATTGCAGCATAATTTTATACACTTCATAAAATTAATTTAACACGCATTGGTTTGTGGGAGGAGAAAAAATTTGGAGTGTTACCCTCAGGATATCTTCCTAGCTGAGGCCACCGCCTGGCTGTGAGTGAGACCACACCGTCTCTGCGGTGCTGTACCGGGCTTCAAGACAGTGAAGGATCACTTTACCTTGACCCTTTGTAGTAATGCATCAGGTGATTTCAAGTGTAAACCCATGGTTATTTTCCACTCAGAGAATCCTCGTGCTTTGAAAGGTGTAGATAAAAACACCTTATTAGTAATTCTGAGGTCAAATCAGTCAGCATGGATGACAGAGGAAATATTTATTGACTGAATTAAGCATCACTTTATTTCTGAAGTCAAGTTTTACCTGCTCAGCAAGAACCTTGCATTCATTCTTGTTAATTCCTGTACTCATCCACAAGATTTGCTGTATGTGACCCCACATGTAAAAAGTTGTATTTTTACCTCCAAATACAGCATATTTAATATAACCACTGGATCAAGGAGTTATTAAGTCATTCAAGTGTAACTACAGAAGAAAAGTGATGAAAAAAACAGTTGCATTAATGGACTCTTGACTCTAACCTGGCAGTACCAAGCTTTTGGAATAATGCATAATATACTGCAGGATAAAAGAAGCCAGAGATTCATTACACAATTTATGCACACTCCAATACAACCATCGACTAAGTACTAGAACCTCAACCATCCACTTCTGCCGACAACCAACAACCATCCTCCTCAGCCCAATAGGTACACACCATGCATCTCCACTCTCTTCACAATCACTGACATACACCACCAACCACAATTTAAGGTAAACAATAATATTTCTGTTGCATTTGTAGTCTTAAGCAACAAAAACAACATTATCATTTTTATTTTTGTAAGATCTGGATGTCTAAGAAAAAGTTTGGCTTTTGTGGGGGATCCCAGGAACATAACCCTGTTTTTCCTACAAGTTCTTCAGTTTATATAACATGCATTTATCTGACACGACATTTTCAGGAATGTAACTACCATGTAATATGTAGGTCTAATGTATATCATAAATAAAATTCATTAAACACTGTCATTCATGAGAGTATCATTGTTCTTTCAAGGGATGGATGTGGTTACAGTTAGTGCTGTTGATCGCACTGTTACAAAACACACGATATCTAATAATGATAGAGAACTCCAGTGAATACTAGAAAGGACTGCCCTTCTAGCATCTAGCCTGTTATTGGGTTTTTGTAACGGGTAGTCAGTATCCTGGTCCAATTATCCATTAGAATTTAGTAAAGATTCAATAGTGCTTCAGGATTACAACTGATAGGCTACTAAATAAATTAAAATTTAATAAGTTTATTAATAACAATCAAGTTGTCTAGGCACATATTATCAAAGTAAATTAAAGTAATCAATTGAATATAATATAGGATACAAGTTCCTACACTTCTCTCATGTACTGTGCTGAAGGCACATATCACATCTTTATGGCTTTTAAGTACTGTCTGGTACATTGTTAGCATTTGATAACATAATACAAATATATACAAGTAAGTTAGTGTGTGAAAGTGCGTGCTCTAAGTAGTTTGCTATGTCTCAAGACTCAACTAGACTTAACCAGTGACTGACTAAAAGTCCTCACATAAACTAACTTCTTGACCAACCTGGCAATCAGAACAGCTTGCTTGAAAAATGAAACGACTTATAAGCTGAACAGCAACATAACAAGCAACAGAGACACAGAATCAGGAACAAGGAGAAAATACAACGACACTAAGTAGGGACCAGCTGCAGATCCTCCACAAAAGTCACATATTGCGACCCCTGAATGGGTCACAATGTATATAATGTATATTACCTGTTCATATAGTTTTATATTGCTTATATTGCTTATCGAGAGGCAAAGTAGGACTTGATGAATCACATCCAAGATAATTACTTTCAGAGACACTGGCAGCTATCTCACGTTATTGAGAGAAGATGTACTGCCCATAACTGATGGTACCTATTGCAAGATGGATGTATTGTTAGAAGCCTATGGTGGGGCTGTTATGAAAGTACCTCTACACAAAGTTTACATTGAAACAAGCTATTATACTGGTTATATTTCAGTGGGTATATCCAGTGGTGTATTTCCCATCAGGTCAGTGGACTTGTTGATAGGGAATGATATCCTTCATGCTGGTATATGTAAGGAACCACTTGTGATTGATAATACCACTGATGATAATTATGCCATTGAAGCTTGTAGAGAGAAGCCTATTTTATTTCCTTTCAGTGCAATTACTAGAGCTATGTCAAAGATACAACAACCATCCTTGTCTCCTATTGAGTTAGTGGATGACAGTGATTTGAGCTTGAATATGTTGTTTAGTGATGCTCTGTGCCCAGGATCATTAACACTGACTCCCCACTGTCATCAACCTAGTCAGGACACAACTGATGTTAAATTTCTAACTCATGATGATTTAATCAAGGATCAGTTTGTTGATCAGTCACTGGAAAGACTGAGAAATATAGCAGTTACTTAGAGTGAAGCAAAGGATCTCGATAATTGTTACTATTATAGTAATAGTGTACTGATGGAGAAAAATACATGTAAGTTGTCAGCTGAAAGTGTTTCCACCACAGTCAGGCATCTCGTAGTGTTACCAGTTACATTTCGTGAACAAGCCATTGATTTTGCTCACAATAGTCCCATTGGAGGACATTTGGGTGTCAAGAAGACACTTGGTAAACTGGCAAAACATTTTACTTGGCCAAAAATGAAGGAAACAGTAGCTGATCATGTGCGACGTTGCCACGACTGTCAAGTGATAGGCAAGCCAGCACACACAGACACAGACCAGACAACATCTCTCCGTGGGTCCTTAAAGAGAGAGCAGAGATACTGTGTGTGCCATTAACAAAGATCTTCAACACATCAATTGAAACTGGGCAACTCCCTGAGGTATGGAAGATGGCAAATGTAGTCCCAATTTTTAAAAAGGGAGACAGACATGAGGCACTAAACTACAGACCTGTATCACTAACATGTATAGTATGTAAGATCATGGAGAAGATCATCAGGAGGAGAGTGGTGGAGCACCTGGAAAGAAACAAGTGTATAATTGACAACCAGCACGGTTTCAGGGAAGGAAAATCCTGTGTCACGAACCTACTAGAGTTTTATGACAAGGTGACAGAAGTAAGACAAGAGAGAGAGGGGTGGATCGACTGCATTTTTTTGAACTGCAAGAAGGCCTTCAGCACAGTTCCTCACAAGAGGTTACTGCAAAAGCTAGAGGATCAGGCACACATAACAAGAAAGGCACTGCAATGGATCAGAGAATACCTGACAGGGAGGCAACAACGAGTCATGGTACATGACGAGGTGTCAGAATGGGCGCTTGTGACAAGCGGGGTTCCACAGGGGTCAGTCCTAGGACCTGTGCTGTTCTTGGTATATGTGAATGACATAACGGAAGGGATAGACTCAGAAGTGTCCTTGTTTGCAGATGATAGAAGTTAATGAGAAGAATCAAATTGGATGAGGATCAGGCAGGACTACAAAGAGACCTGGACAGGCTACAAGCCTGGTCAAGCAACTGGCTCCTTGAGTTTAACCCTGCCAAATGCAAAGTCATGAAGATTGGGAAAGGGCAAAGAAGACTGCAGACACAATATAGTTTAGATGGCCAAAGACTGCAAACCTCACTCAAAGAAAAAGATCTGGGGGTGAGTATAACACCGAGCATATCTCCTGAGGTGCACATCAATCAGATAACTGCTGCAGCATACGGGCGCCTGGCAAACCTACGGATAGCGTTCCGATACCTCAGTAAGGATTCGTTCAAGACTATACCATTTACGTCAGGCCCATACTGGAGTATGCAGCACCAGTTTGGAATCCACACCTAGTCAAGCATGTCAAGAAATTAGAGAAAGTGCAAAGGTTTGCAACAAGACTAGTCCCAGAGCTACGGGGATTGTCCTACGAAGAAAGGTTGAGGGAAATCGGCCTGACGACACTGGAGGACAGGAGGGTCAGGGGAGACATGATAACGACATATAAAATACTGCACGGAATAGACGAGGTGGACAAAGATGGGATGTTCCAGAGAAGGGACACAGACACAAGAGGTCACACTTGGAAGTTGAAGACTCAGACGAATCAAAGGGATGTTAGGAAGCATTTCTTCAGTCATAGAATAGTCAGGCCGTGGAATAGCCTAGAAAGTGAAGTAGTGGAAGCGGGAACCATACATAGTTTTAAGGTGAGGTATGATAAAGCTGATGGAGCAAGGGGAGAGAGGACCTAGAAGCAATCAGTGAAGGGGCGGGGCCAGGAGCTATGACTCGACCCCTGCAACCACAAATAGGTGAGTACACACCTCCACCTACACCTCTCACTGAGCTTACTAGTAGCAAAGTTCAGCCCATCTGGACTAGGGATTGCTCAGACTTGTTTACAAGGTTGAAGCATCTGCTTTCCTCTGCTCCTGTGTTGAGGAGTCCTAATTTCAATCTTCCTTTCTTTTTACATATACTGTAGATGCA